TGTAAATCTGCAGCCACACGAGGAACTGTGGGTGGGGCAGAATGGTCCCCACATCCCCCTGCCCCATTTTGGCTCCCTTCCACACTTGGGGAAATACCACTCCACAGCTTCTCCATACCTCTGGTTGTAGAAGGACATTCCAGGGTGCTATTCAGCCATGTTGGAACATACCATAGTCCTTGTGTTTCCACAACTGCTTCCATATATTACTACTTCTTGTGGTGGGAATAATGTGCAGTAGGAGTTGTGCATAGGGTTGTGGGTAGCCAGAATACAGACATAAATTAGCACTGTGTCATGTTGATTTCTACCTTTTGAAGGGGATAGGGGGAAGCAAAGAGAGGCAGAATTTTGTCCTAAATATAACTGGTGCTTGCCCCAGTCCCAAAACTATACTCTCAAGCTGCTCTGTATTGTATCTTGTTATATAGATACCACACATCCATCAGAATTAACTTTGTCTTTGCTTTGAAATTAAATTAAAAAACAAGAAATCTGTCGCTGAAGCATCCACCACAAAGATCAAGCAGAAATTTGCATCAGTATACGAAACTCTTTATTAAACCATATTTCTTAAATAATCAAAGGAATATAGATATTCTGGTCAAATATACTTGTTTTTGTATAAATGTCCTTTCCCTTCCCTCCTCCAACTTTGCTCCCATATGAAAACCCCTCCCTTTAGGATAAGAAAAACTCAGTGGGCCCTAAACACATGCAAGGGGCTATAGAACACCTAATGAACAATCCACAAGTTGGGATATAATGGGGTAGCTACAGAGCCACCACCTTGGCTATGTTTATGCTAGCAAAATGACCTGCTGACAGCTGCAGCCAACCTCGAGCGCTGTGCCCCACTGAACTGGTGTTGAAAACAGGCTGTTAGTGCAGACAGCACCAAACTGTGCTGGGCAGCCTTCGGGGAAAGCAGGCTAGACACCGTTGGTCCAATTCTGAGCTTACCCTGGTGTAAATCTGAAATAACTTCATTGAAGTCAGAGTACTTACATGTGTGTAAGACTGTTATGAGAAGAGAATCAGACCTGGTACAATTGCTGTCGTGTAAACTCTTCCTCCAGCTTCTTCCCCAATTCCTTCCACACAAAGTTCAAGCACCGTTTTTGGGGGGGTTTTTTGTAAGGCTTTGTATGGCTTGGTCCTGCCTATAACTCCCTTGCCATTACTCTCCAGCTTGCCCAATCTTTACATCGTCTCGGTCCCTGTATTTCCTTCCACTCTCCCCTCCCTGCCTGTTATCATGGTGCTCCCAATACCTGGTACTACATTCCTTGGCTTGTGTACCAAGCATGCTCATTCTTGAAATCGTTCCTCCAAACAGTCTAATTCCACCTTGCTTGCTGCCCACTGCTGACTACTCCTCTTGTACTGTCTTCTCCCTTCTTGCCCCTAAGTTTCTGCTTTAAAAAATCATCACAAAGTTTATGGTTTGCGTTCTATGTAAGGTGATGTGTGTACACATCTATTTAACCTTCATCTCACCTTTCCCTACTCCTTTTGCTTTGCTTTTATAAAATCTGTAAGGTCTTCAGGGCAGGGACCATGGCTTCTTTTTAAACTTATGTGAAGCACTGCCATTTTTGCACTTCAAACATGTATATTATTATTATTTATTATTACTGTTATTAAAGGGTCTTATAAGGTTTAGTTCTGTCAACAGCAGTCAAGCTACTTCCAACCTCTGTTGATGGGGGAACAGGAGCAGCCCTACGAGTCATTTTTCCATGATAGGCAGGACCTTTGTTAAAACACTGCCCTCTGAAGGTTAGCATCCATAAATAGCTGCTGTACCTACACATCACCATACTTTATTCCCCATTTCCAAGAACAGCTGAAAAGAAATCAGTGTTTTCCTTCCCAGACAGATGCATTAATTACTTCACTATCATCTCAAAGATATAGACTCAATAAAATGAGTTTCATTTTGCTCTTAAGCTCAATGTAAGGAACAAATGTTCTTATTAAATCATTTCATCATCCTCTGCAGCAAACGACGAGCCCCACACAAAACCCAGCCTGGGAGAAAACAGAACACCTTTCTGCAGCCTCACTTTATTGCCAGCATAACTTGTTCATTAGTCAGCACAATGAGAAAAGAGGTGAACCAGAGGTTGGGCCGGGCAGTTCCACGTAGTAATCTAAATCACATGGTAGAGACTGCCAGAGAGTCCTAATCTTTTCCATGTGAGAGGGTTGGTTGGTTGTTTTTTCCCCATGAGTTTCACGTGAATGCTTCACGGGCAAAGAATCAGACCCGAACTGTGGAGCTGGATACGAGATGAAGGCTAAGGAGAATAGGAGAACATTATGTACTATTCCTTCTCTCGCTTTTTGGTCAATGGGATAAGTTTTAAAAAACATTCCCTTGCTCCCCAAGTTTGAAAAGTTGACCCTTGTCCGTTTAAGGCTCATAAAGCAAACAGTCCCTTTAATAGCTAGGTCCATTTGCAGGTGTATCCATAGAAGTTTGAATGCTGAGAAGAGCATATGAGAAAATGTAATTCTATTTTATTTCCTTTCGTGATCACAAAGCATTTACATTGATTATAGGGAGAGCTGTGAAACCAAAAAGGGACTTTGGGGGGGAAAAGTGACGGCAGCTGAACCTTGCAGCAATTGCTGTAGATGGGGGATTATTCATTGCACATAATATATTCAGTTCGTTATTTCTGTTCATGAATTAGCTAAAGAACAGTCTTTGATTTTTTTAAAAACATTTGTTTGTTACCTGACACTATTCAGTGTCCAGCCTAATATGGATTATCCATGAATTATTCACTTTGACCATTGGCTTTTTGTTATTTGTGCCATGCGATTGATCACATAAGTCACGTGATATTGTTTCAACTCCCTAGCTGGATGACTCAAATATCCATGTGGGTATTTGTGAGATTTTCACTTATTGCAAACATTTCTGCAAACAAAATCACACATATAAACTTTTGCAGAAAACAAATTAAAAGGGTTGCTAACCCTGACAAAGCAAATTCATGGGTTTCACTCAAATTCATAGGAGGCCCACTCCTGATCCCACTTCTCCTGGCTCTTGGCCCCTCTGAGCTTTTTCTGCCCAGGATTTGAACCTATCCCATTGAGGTTAACCAATTGAATACCCAGTCAAGAACCTTACCTCCAAATCTACTGACTTTCCTCTTGCAATGAAGGTCTTCTGCTTGGTCATGGGGACAGGAACTAAAGGGGTATGACAAGGGCTGGAAGGGGAGCCAATGGGGGTTTGGCTTAGGACAAAGAGGGCAAGGGCTGAGGCCATTCACCAGCAGAGGAAAGAACAAAGTTGGGAGCAAGCATGGAAAGGGGTGGTTCCACGCACAGAATCAGGAGCTAGAAGGGGTGAACTGAAGGGAAAGGCCAAGGACTGAAAGGGGAGGATCAAGTGTGGGTCCAGAGAAGTGGTGACATGGCTGGACATAGCATCACTGGATTTAACATCGTTCTCTTTTATAGCGATCGATATTTTATCATCCTGTCATTGTGATTTGCCATTTATTAGCACTGTTAATGTATGCGCCCTTTAGGAGCATAAACATTCACATGCTAAATATTTTTCTTAAAATTCTGCAGATGTGTGTGCACTGAATTTGTCTCTATGACTACATCCACTTTAGTAAGTTCTAAGATGGGCATTCCAGAATGTGCTTTCTAAATAAGCATTTTATTAATTATTGTTATTGTTATTATTAAGGGCTTTAAATCGTTCAGTTACTGAATAAAAGTCTCCTAGAATTACAGGGACATTATGCGTCAGCTGCAGGTAATGGCAGAATATTGCATACAAAATAAGTGCGTTCAGTTGTTTGCTTCTTTTTTTCCTCCACTGTGAAATTTCTGTATTCATGTTTTCCAATCTTTGCTTTTCCTACATTAATTAAAATATAAAGACAATTTATAACATAGCCTGAAGTAAAAGGACATTGTCAAGGTTGTGAGAGGAAAGTTGCAGTATTCATTTGGCTGTCCAAGGCATTATATTTGTTACACAAAAGAATCCATCTCAACACACATTTTAAAAATATTTGTAGAAACACCTGAGCTACCGTCATATTTTAATAAAATGTGAATGGTTCTAGTGTCTCTCAACGAGTGCAGCCATTTTAAGCTGCTTTCAAGCAGGAATTCCACTTAAGCTCTTAACTTCTCTGTGCTTCAGTTTCCTTGTTGGCACAATTGGGCTAATAATACAGCCATACCTCACAGGAGTGTTTGTGAGAGTAAATTAATTGTTTGCAAAGCACTTTCTCGCTTGGAAGATTTACTAGAAAAGTATCCATAGAAAATATAAATATTAAACCACTATTTTTTTTTAAAAATTAATTAAATGACAGAATTTACCTAAAACATCTGTGAAATTCTCTAGCTTCTCTCCTGCTCTGACATTCCTTTGTTCCAAACTGCCAGCTGAGAGTCAAGATGGTGGCTTCCTCCTTCTTGAGCAACTTTCCATTTTCATTATGCTTAACAATTTTAAAATGATTGGTGATTTGCACTTTTCTACCCCCACATAAAGTGATCATATGTGTAAGCAGTGTCAGGGTGAGCTCCACCCTGACATCTGGTGGTGAGGTGTGGCAAGTTGTGGAAAAGAACTTCAAGGGCTGATCTCATTTGCATAGGCACACCCACCACGCCTAGAATGAGGCCATAGCTGCAAATGGTCACTTTGGCTGCTGTGGGATCCCCAGTGTCTCTGTTATTGGGGCAGGAAGAATAAATTGTTATTACCCTGATTATGGGAACTGTGCTTGGAACTGTACTTGGCCTTTTGTTATGATGGAGGGACTCACCATCACCTACGTAGCACTCGCTAGGCAAGGGTCATGGGTTCCAAAACTCTGTGAATTGAGAGAGGCTGGGGATAAGTATTAATATTTGGTGGCATGGGCCCCTGGTGAGGGCCTTACATGCTAATTGCACTTCCTCCTCTCTCCACTGAGGAATATCAGAGCTAATTTTGATTTTATTAGGAGTCTAGTTACATGCTGCTGAGCTCACTTTGGGCTAATGGTGCACCAGCACTGAGGCTCCCCTACTACAAGCTGAATTCACCAAAGAGCTGAACTGACTGAGAGCTGAAATCACTGAGTGTTGTATTAAGTAGTGTGGGAGCCTGAAGATATATTGTGGAGAAGTTTGCGGGACGGCTGGAGTGCCTTGTGGACAGGCTGGTGGAGCAGTTCATGGGATGGCGGGAGCTGCTGGTGAGCCACGGAGCTGAGCGAAGCAGTTCGTGGGGCAGCTGGTGGAGCGGAGCGGAGCGAAGCGAAGGCCTATGGAGCTGTGGGGCGGTCAGCTTCAGATCATGTAAGGTGCCTTTTACCCCCGCCCCCGTCTCCACCCAGGTTGGGAGGTAAAGCTCTGTAGATAAACTTTTGAACTCTAGGGCTGCCCTGACCAGGGACAGAGACTTTTGGGTCATTGGACTTTTGGGACTTTGGGGTTGCTGGACTCAAGAACCCAAGGGGAAAGGCATGCCCCAATTTGCTTGGGGTGGGTTTTTTGCTCATGGGTTGTGTTATGAATCCTGTTGGTGGTGTGTCCCCAACATAATGCCACATTGTTTCTCTCTGTTATTAAAAGGCTTTTTGCTACACTCAGACTAGGTGCTTGCGAGAGGGGAAGTATTGCCTCTGGGAGGCGCCCAGTGGGGGTGGTATACATTTGTCCCAGGTCACTGGGTGGGGGCTCGAGCCAGTTTGCATTGTGTTATTGGAATGGATCCCCTAGATATTGAACCCGGCCCTTGTTGCTGCCAACTCTGACGGGCAGAAGGGTTACATATGGTTTTAAAACATAGGTTTTCCTTCACATGAACCTTCCTCAATAAAGGGGAAATTCATCCCTGAGACAAGGGTTAGCACAAAACCTGTGCATCACGAAAGGCCTGTTTTGAGGGTTTACATGGGACTTGAAATGGTGCAGAGACCTTGTGCTGGGTCTTTCCACAGGGTTGAGTTCTGTCCTTCTCTCTTCACTTGAATGGGGCAGGCTCAGTCTCCAGCCCACCCCTCCATGGCAGGACTGATGTGGCCCCAGGGCCTCCCACTTTCCAGAGCAGGACCCAACTCCCCCTACCCCTGGGGATAAAATGTAATAAAACAAAATCCCCCCACTTCCCCAATTCAAAAATTTATATGAAAAAGTAAAGAGAATTTCACTAACCCCACTCACTCACAAGCACAATGCATGTGTTACAGTCTGTGGTATGGATATCTTCAGGACCCAATCAAGCCTTGAGATCCTTTCTCCCTCCACCTACCACTCCCACCCAGTGCACCTCAATTAACACAACGGCACAATTCTCACCTTGTGAGGAAATACTTTTTCCACACAACATGTAATTCAGCTGTGGAACTCATTGCCATAGGATGTTGCTGAAGCCAAAACTTACTTAAGGTTCAAAAAGGCATTGGCTAGATCTGTGGATAAGAAGAACATCCAAGATTACGATTGTTAATGCTAATGTAAATTCTGGAAGGGATATTAAACCTCATGTTTTGGGCTTTACACCAATCTCTAACTATTTGGGATCAGAATAAAACCTAATTGTGGGGCCAGATTATCCTAATGAGAGGTTTCTTGCATCTTCCTCTGCAGCATCTGGTGCTGGCGAGTATCAGAGACAGGAGACTGGAGGAGATGGACTTTGAGTCTGATCCAGACCAGCAATTCCTATGTCCCTGTGCTCAAAGGAGAAGCAAGTAAGGGGCGACTACACCCACTGTGCTCCACAGCCCCAAGGCTTATGGGTTGCCGTCTGGGAGGCTTAGTCAGCCTCTCACCATGTACGCTGCAGCATGTGTTAAGCTGGGGTGGATGACGTTCCATCATAAAGGAATGCCATCTTGCTCACAAAGGGTCTGATCCAAAGTCCACTGAAATGAATGGGAGCCCTTCCATCGACTTCAGTGAGCTCTGGATCACATTTTCCCCAGGAGTACCCTGCGCTATCCTGTCCTATAGCAGCAGGATGTCTACTGGCAGTTTGCACCCCTCCCTCCCCCCCCCCCCACAGCCCCCCGGGTTCCCTCCAGACATCTTGGGCAGGATTTAAACTTTGGTATTTATGACTATCGGGTCCATTCAACTTTCCTTCTTTTCCATTTTTTTTTAGCTATTATTTAGGAGCCGCTGCTGGGTGCTGAGCAGTGGCTCCTAAATAGACCCAGTGGCTATGTTCCTGCCCCTTTTCTTGGCTGTTAGCCAAAACACTGCCACCTACCTCACAAAGGACAGAATGTGGGCGGTGGCTGCTATAGGGCCAACCTTAAGGAAAATGATGCCCTAGGCGAACTTATATTTTGGTGCCCCTAGCCCCTGTGGGTGCGGGCCCCCCCCATTACCCTGGGCCCCTGTGGGCTTCCCACTCCCCCTTTGCCCCAACCTCTGTATTCCCCTCCTGCCTCCCATGCACCCCTTCCGCCCAACCCCTGAACTGTGTTCCCTTTGCCCCTAACCCCTGCACTCCCCCCTTAACCCCTGCATCTCCCTCCTGCACCTGCAACCCATGCACCCCCTCCTGAGCCCCCAAGTCCTGCACCTCCCTCCTGTCCCTCTCCTGCACCCCAACCCCTGCACCTCCCTCTTTGCCCCCAAACCCTGCACCTCCCTCCTCCCAACCAGTGCACCCCCTCTTGAGCCCATGTGGGGAAACTGACCAGCATTGCTGCTTGCTTCCCCCCCCCCCCCCGACTCGGAATGCTGTTCCTCCCCGCAGTTCTAAGGGACTGTGAGGGGGGAGCGAGGAGTGACATCAGGGCTCCCTGCACCCAGGTCACTTTTCCCACCTGGTCTGCATAAGGGTAGGGCAGGGCGGCAGAGCAGCAGCTGCTGATGCTCACCTCACAGCCCAGCCCAGGTGGGGAAAATGACCTGAATGCACGGAGCACTTGATGTCACTCCTCGCTCTGCCCCTTCCCAGCCCCTGAGTGGGATGAAGAAAAATATTTGGGGGGAGGGGGGGCAAGCAGTATCTGTCACCAGAGTGTCACTGCTCCCACCCCATGTTCCTCCGCCAGGAGGAAGCAGGGAGAAATCTGGGTGCTTCTCCAAGTGGCGCTCCCCAAGGAGCAGTTTCTGACATTACACTGGCACCTCACACCTCTGTGCTGCCGCACGGCTCCCCCTTGACCACCAGGCACCCTGGGCAGCCACCCCATTGGCTCATCCTTGAGACCGGCCCTTCCAGTATCTGCTTGCTCTGACTTTGCACAGGATGTCAATTTCACCTAAATACGTCCTACTGACTGGAGCTGGTGTGACTTATCTGGCCTAATGATTACAGGAAGTTTCAGTGAACTATTGAGACTTCCTGTGGTATCTTGAAACTAACTCAATGTTACGTAATAGAACAAATTTCCTTATTCATCTGAATGTACAATTACTGTGACTTACTGGCAAGAGTGAAATGGCTTAGAAGGGAACAAGTAAGCATTTGGTCTAGACATGCAAAATTCTAAAAATAACCAGCCACAATATTTCTGAGCCCCTAGTTCTACTTCACATTTACACCACACTGATCTATTTGAAGAGCTTTGCAAACTCAGGGTCAGATATGGCCACCCTTAATCACATGGCATAGTACTTTATTCTGCAGGTGTTTCCACTGATGAAAATGGGATTGCTCACAGAGCAAGCTACATCCTGAAAGTGGAGCTAGTAAACTGACGGTCATTGGGCAATATTGCTGAGAACAGAATGAAGCAATGGGCTTTCTCAACAGGTAACAAAACCCCAAAGCTGTCTGGCCAGATTCAGGCATTTGACCACTGACTTACACACTAGTGGCAGTGTGCTTAAGGTAGCTCCAGAAATGATTGTCCACCATGGCTCCCCAGTGAACAGGGACACAGTGCAGGTTCCTCCAGGTGTGGGGCAGAAAAAAGGTGGGATGGGATCATAGCATGGAACCAAACTGCCAGAAGCTCTGATTCTAACTTAGCTGTTGCTCAGTAAGTCTAGGAATGGGGGTCGCAATGCAAAAAGCTTGCATTCTCCCTGGGGACCCAGACAGGTCCACTCCCAGGGAGCTGTTTGGATTGGACACATCGTATGGATCTCTTCCCTAACTGGAAGAGTGTAACTATTAAAAACAGGTTTCCAGTGTGATTCTTAGCTACACATTTGAAACTTGTGTCCACAGTAATTCAATCATATTTGAATACAATTTGCTGATTGGCTCATAAACCTGCTCACTAAAATATTAATGGACAGCACACGCCTTTCCTGTTTGAACAGTCAAAGAAAATTTGGTTCAGAAATGTGAAAGAATAATTTTTTGCAGTATTCCCCTAATTCCAGAAAAGACGGAACACGTAGCTCTCCCTTATTTTCATATGGCTACCCATACCAGATCATTTTTTTTTAAAAGCCATCAGGACAATTAACCAAGTTCTGAATGCAGGAGTGGTTGTGATAGGGTATCCTATGCATTAAATATAGAGCAATCCAATGTTTGACTATCAGCAAAGCCAAAAGTCAAAGCACAGAGTCTTAGTAGATGTTATTCATAATACCTAATAAACATGACTCGAGAGCTGAATCAAGGCTCTTTTTGATTACAGAGAATATTAACCACAATGGGCTAGTTCCTCAGCTGAGGTAAATTGATGCAACTCCATTTTCTCCAATGCAGCTATGTCATATTATATCAACTAAAGATCTGGCCCAAATTTTTTTAAAAAAATTGAAATGAAAAAAGCATTCCCAAACCATGCACCTAGAGCAGAGGTTCTCAAACTGTGTTCTGTGGACCATCAGTGGTCCGTAAGCTCCATTCAGGTGGTCCACAGATAGTTCCCTCCAAGGTGCGTGCCTGGGTGGCTGCACACAAGAGAATGAAGGGCCACCCACTTAATTAGTGGAGCCACACAGGCATGGCTCCACTAATTAGGTGCCTGGCCCCTTGGAAGATGCACGTGTAAGGTGAGGTGGTGGCCTTGGGGGGAATAGGAGGTAGGTGGGAGGGGAAAGTGGGGTGAGAAGATGGGGTGGGGGAAATTTGGGATGTGCAGGGCTGAAGCGGCCAGAGAAAGAGGTGACTTTCCCCAGTTCCAGGGCTGAGGCTGCCGGGGCGAGACCCGCCTCCTTCCCAGCCCCAGCTCAGGGACTGCTGCGGTGTGGGAGAGAGGGCACCTCCATCGCATTAGAAAGGTAAGAATACTGATATTAATATATGAGTTGTGTGCTTTTACTTGTAGAACAAAAGCATTTTAATTATTATTTTTTTAATATAGCATTTTTATCCAAAGTGCTTTACAATAGTTAGCTAACGGTACAAACAACGTTTGGAAAGATCATTAAGTGGTCCACCGAGACACTCAGCAATTTTCCAGTGGTCCATGGAAAAAAAAAGTTTGAGAACCACTGACCTAGAGCATCCCTTTGAAATGTTCTGGTTTCATCCTCTCAAGTTTTAAAAAACCTTCAGTAGATATGCTCTAGGGATACATTTAAAGCACAGTAGATCCATAACCTGCTTTTGTAACTCCCACTGAGGTCAGTATCTGAACTGCAGGATTTGGTCCTCATCTGTATCTAGCATTGATCATTATAGCTTTTTGTGATCCTTTCCCACTTCAGCTATATTAATAACAATTAAAAATCAATTTCCCATATAAATGTAATTAAACAATGACCTTTCACTTAACAGATCAGGCCGTTTCCTTATTGACAGTGAACACTTTCAGCTTTTCATGTATGAATTTCAATTATTTGTAGTTTTTATGGACTATTAGGAAACTAATTCACAAGTCCATACAATAAGCCTAATTTGATAAATGTGATCTCAAATTTTATTTATTGCAACAAATATGCTAATGGTATACAAATCTTCTGAGTTCATTGTAATTATTATGTATTTTGATTCTACTCAAAACTGTATTACACATTTTGCAGAACAAGTCAGACTGGTCCATGCCTCAAAGAACTTCCAGTCTAGATTTCAGATATGGCACAACATGGGAGGACAACAAACAAAGAAAAGGAGGCTCAAAGGGAGACATAGGATGAAGATTATTACAAAAGTACTATTAATTTATATTAAATTAGTGCTTAGAGGCCTCAGTAGAGTATCCAGTTTGCTAAGTGCTCTGCAAACATGTAGGAAACACCCAGATTTTGCAGTCTAGATCACATAGTTCTGCACATACCTACAATGCATATCTTAATGGTTCTAGTTCCAGTAATTCCTGTAGTCCCTCAGATATGATTGACATTTCACTCCATATTCTTTATGAAAATATGCTTATGATATGAATATGACATAACTGATATGTACTTTATGCAAGATGGGTCTTGTAAGGTGTCATTGGAAAGGTAATGATGTACTAAATATGATTATCCAATTAATATGCATATATCGTTTCTGTAGCTAAAGTTAGAAATATGGACTATGTAACAATTACAACTGGGTGTGTATCGGGAAGAAACCCACCAGAGGACAGGCCATCAAATTTAATGGAGTGGAGATGTAATTTCTTCCCAAGAGTCATCCTTTGTGAATTGATGCCAATAACAATAATCCTCTTCTGTACTTCACACTGTATGTTATATATTGATCCAGGTTTTGGTTGGACCACCTAAGAGACTTTTGATGTTCTCTACAGTGATCATCTCTCCCTAAATATTTCACTATTCCTAGTGTCTTTGTGCTCTTTTCTGCTACCTTCTTCACGAAGCTCAGCCCCTCACATTTACTGGTTCCAGGATGCGGCAGGAGGTCCTTCCATCTTGGAAGTGACTTCCCATTCTGTCTCCTCAGGCTGATGCTGCCCCACAACTAACTATTACTTGCCAATCCTGGTTGAGCACACTGCAAATCCATCTCCTCGGTCACCATGCTACTTTACATCCATGGTCACAGGTTCAATGCTCACTTTGAGGGTGAAAGAGCTCTAACACAGGGCCAATGGGCATCATTAAGCTTGATCGAAGAAAGAAGGTGGGGAGTCCTATATTAAAGTATGGGACTTCAGGGCATATCAGTTCCTCAGTGGGAGAGAAACTGATGATAGAGATTTAGCATAATCCTCCTAGTCTGTTCAATTTACAACCTGCATGGGATTTGGAGGGAGGACTACAGGTTGCAGGAGGGAAGTGTTCGGAAGCAGCACCAGAAAGTCAGTCTGTATGCACACAGCCAGAATGCTAGCTGCTCCTGCAGAATCTCTGTAAATGGCTCTCATATTAAAGAGCCAGTTTAGTTTTACAAGCATGGAGTCCTTTAATGGTATTACCCAACACATGGTAAATGAAACACATGCTATGCAGACAAGCCCTGCTTATCTTGAACAGAGACAGCATAAACAGCAGCAAAGCTCCACAGAACCAATTCCACTATCAGGGTTCTAACTACAAGGCTTGTATTCCCGTCCTTTTACCTATATCTTTCTTGTCTAAACCTGTATCTTGGTTTTGGCACTCCATCCCGGAAACTCCCCAGCTCACTTCCCACCACTGCATTTTCATTATCATTATTATAACTAGATAAAGCAAGTGTCAATTATCTCCAACTGCCTCTCAACCAAACCATCATTTTTAGGCTGATTTCTCATAAGCATTCCTGCAGAAGTGGGTCTTGAAGAGGGATTTGAAGGAGACGAGAATAGTGACCTTACAGATCACTTCCGGAATGGTATTCTGTGCATAAGGGGCATTGAGGAAGAAGACACAGAGATGGGCATGTGACAAGCTAACACGTAGATGGTGCTGTCATTTTTGGTGGTTTGGTCTCCAGCTCTGTATGTGGAGCTTGCTCCTGAAAGCTAAAAGGAGGTTTGATAAAAATGCCCCATAGAAATCTGAAATATCCCATTGTGACGCTTTGCTCCATATTCTTTATGCAAATATGCTTATGATATGAATATGACATAACTGAGATGTACTTTATACACAATGGGTTTTGTAAGGTATCATTGGAAAGGTTATAATTTACTGAATGCGATTATCCAATTTGTATGCCTGTATCATTTCTCAAAAAGAAAAGGAGTACTTGTGGCACCTTAGAGACTAACCAATTTATTTGAGCATGAGCTTTCGTGAGCCACAGCTCACTTCATGAGCTGTGGCTCACGAAAGCTCATGCTCAAATAAATTGGTTAGTCTCTAAGGTGCCACAAGTACTCCTTTTCTTTTTGCGAATACAGACTAACACGGCTGTTCCTCTGAAACCTGTATCATTTCTGTGTCTGAAGTTAGGAATGTTGACTATATATCTGTATTTCAACTTTGCTACTTTGGGTGATGCCCCCTGTTAACACTTCAAGTACAACAATGAAAAAGCTGGACAGTGCTGATGGCCCATCATCAAGAAACAATGGACTGTAAAAAAGCTTAGTCTTCCTGTGAACATGTGGGTCAGCATGTGAAGAATGACTACAGGGGCCCTACAGAGGCAAGTGACCATTCACCTCATACTGGAACCCATCTTGAATTCTGTACTTTTTCATGAGAAGCTGGGGGTGGGGGGAAACAAAGGACTCCCGTCTTATGGAGATCCTATTTAAGGGTGTGGAGTGAGGTAATCCAGGTCATCAGTTCTCCCCGGCTAACCCACCCAAGATGACTGCTGGAAACAACTAAGACTGAACTGGGGGAAAGAACTGGACCCAGGCTGGAAGAGCATCTGGCCTGTGAAGAAGATTATTAGAACCACATTTAGGGTGAGAACTTACATGTAACCAGGTTTTTTTAGTGTATTAAGCTTAGTTTGCATGCTCTGTTTTATTTTCTTAGTAATCTGCCTCTGCTACCTCCTTAACTACTTAAAATTATAGTTATAGTTAATAAATTTATTTCTGATTTACAATATAACCCAGTTTATGTGATTTCTAACTGGGGGGGGCAAGAAGTGTGCATACTGTCCTCTACATTGAGGGAAGAGGCGAATTTCATATAATTTGGGGTTTGTATTCCAAGGGTGGGAGTGGCGGAGGTGGACATCTGGGTGCTGTGGCAGGCCCCTTAAGTTGAGCCTTCTCAGAGCGTATCTCTGTCTCTCTGTGCAGCTGCGTGTGGCCCTGCCTGTGTGCTTCGCTGGAAAAGGCAGGGGAGCCTAGCCCAGCAAGACCAGGTAGAAGGGAGCCCAGGCTGGCAGAACAGTCTGACTCAGTGGCGTCCCAGCACCTCACGTGACATCCCAGGAGGTCCAGCCCGTCACACCAATGAATACTAAAATGCCAGTGGGACTATTTGCAATAGTAAGTGCTACTTAGGCTGAGTATGTGCTTCAGATGGGCCCTCAGTCTATAAATGGGAAATTTCAAGGAGTGGGAAGATGACAAAATTTCAGGAAGATCCCTCACAAGCGAGCAAGTGCTACTCACCATGAGCTAAAGTCACAGAACCTGTCTCTGTGCATATAGGAAGTGCCTTGTGTTACTGTAACATGCATATTTGCATAAGCAGAAAGCCAGATTTGCAATTGTTCCATTTGTGCCAGATACATACTGTGAAGATATAGCAAGTTTTCCAGTCATATACATAATGTTTCTCCACATGCAGGTTTGTCGGACAAAAGGATTTGTTTGTAATCCTTTCAACATCCAGCCATAAATGTTTTAAAGCTTGAATAGAAAAAAGAGAAACAAAAATCTAAAAGATGCTAAAGGTTAAGCAATAATTTGAAAAGGGGCAGTCTCTCAAAACCTAAACCAAAGCCCAGCACAATCAATGGAAAAACTCACATAGACTTCAATGGACTGTGGTTCAGGGCCCTAGATCTCTGCAACCCCGTAGCGCTGCATGCCATCCTATTCATGTATCATCCTTACTCACTCTGCAGATGAGCTAAGGCCTTGTTTCTCAGTGACAACTGCTCCTCAGAGCAGCAGTGCAAGAAATAAAAATACTTTACTTGAGGATGAAATTGCTGAGGAAATTACAACACTAAAAAGACATGGAGCAGATGTTGTCATGTTATTTGGGCTTCCTGAAATTGCCTCTTTCTGCAATATTTCAGGTGGAAATGGTTATTCTGTGTGTTAAAATTGCCAGAAAGACAAAAAGCCACCTTTGCTTGAAATCTGGTACTCACAAAGTACCAAGCGAATTGGTACTTTTCTTTGATATTTTTCTAGGTATGTTGTAGGCAAGGACAGAGAAAGGCTCTTGCCCTACATTCCACCTGCTCTTTGTATAAGCTTCCTCTCCCAAAGCTGAACCCAGCCTGTCCCCACAGTACATGCTCCCCCACACACACAGTCAATGGTTCCATAGGGTATCCAAATCATTACTGATTCTTACAGCCACTAAACTGCACAGAGACACGACGCACAGGAGAGATGATGCTCCTTAAAATCTTATATGAAAGGGCTCATCTACACTTAAGATGCTAGAGAGGCAGTAGCTAGGTCAATGGAAGAATTCTTTCATTGACCTAGCACTGTCTACATGGGGACTGAGCCCAGCTCAACTTTCACACCCTCTGACTGATGTAGTTAAGCCAACCTAATTTTCTGGTGAAGACCAAGCCTCAGAGAAGAGACAGAGAGACCTCTAGGCTTAATCCTCCAACTGTTTTAATTCGTATTGAAGTCAGTGGAATCTGGATCAGGCCTTAAATGAGTAAACAAAGCGTTACTGAATCTGACCCATGTAGTCCTATGCTGTGCTGAACACACGGCCTCAGTACTCCTAGTGCGGTGAACATGGTAAGTATTCCTCATAGGCACTTATACTAGGACTGGATACAGTCTTCCCCAGCATAACTGTGAATCCCAAAGTGAAATAACAATGGCCTATTGTTCTTATTTACAAACAACAAAAGTTATAATGATATTAACTCATTTTTAAAATAGCCAGTCAAGACACTCTGGCTCCTATGAAATACAGTGAAACACATTTAAACTCCTGCTTAAAATCCAGTGGTGACATTCTGAGCCTCAGGGGCAGGCCAGAACTTGCAGTCCTGGGAGATGGAGAACTCTGGTGGTTTTAAAGCTTGGGCAGCTCCTAGGGCCTAGACAATCCTGGGGGCTTATATAAGTGACAGCAGCCTCTCTGGGCTGCCCTATAGGCCACAGTGCTGGATGCTGGAGTCCCCAACCTGCCCTCCCGTCACTGGCCCTGCCCACACCATGAGGGCTTGTGAGAGGGCCCTTGGAGAGGCCCTTTTAGAGCCCCTTTATACCTCCCAGGCCCTTTTAAAGGGGTCAGAGTAGAGTGACGATCTCACCCCAGAGAAATAAAAGGACAGGAGCAGTCCAGTACAACCAGATGATAAAATGGAAACGGGGGGGGAGGGGTAACAATAAACATACAGAGAGCAGAGGTCATAATAATAAATAAAAAGCAGCTTTGGAAAGCCTGAGGTGCTTTTGAAAGCAGAGAGATGCTGGCTGGTTGGCTGGCTGACTCAATCCACTCTATAAACATCCCTTAGCCATATGGTCCAAGCATACAGGCAGGCGGCGTTCCCTTGCCTCTGTTCCTGGCTCACCTCAGAATGCTGATAGCACCCTGATATTAGAGAGCCAGCATGGGTAGACCATAGTGAGAGCCCCACTTCTCCTAAGCCCTGGCAGTGGCCAGAATAAATAGGATGACTGTGTCACAGAAAATAAAACCGAGGAAGATAGACTGGAAACCTTGACCGCTGTTTGCTGCATAGACCAGAGGGCACTGGCATGCAAGCATTTTTACAAAGCAAAGGGGCATGTGTTTTGTTTGTGATAAGCTCTGTGCATGCTGCTTGCCAAACAGATATGCCACACACTGAACCATGTTCTGCCTTTGGGCATGCAGGTGGGTACACTTATGAGAGCTGGGCCTCTCCTTCCTCCTTGGCTTTCTTTGCTTTTGCTATGGCCTGCTCATGCTGGCTCGATAATGTCATTGTGCTATCGACGTTCTGATCCATCGCTCCCAGGTTTTGGGGAATACGGAGGTGAAAGTTTAAAGATTCCATTGCCCTTTTTGAACAACAATAAAGCTGCACGTCTGAACACAGAGTTTGTGACTCACTGATTTACATATTTCAGCTGATGTAACAACGTGCAGTAGTGCAAGTCAACATCGGACAAAAGTGTTTTACTGAGATGAGACTATCTGCAGTGGACACTTACATATCTGTAAGTATTATTAATTACTATTCATTTGCTGAGCAACAACATGTTCAGTGCTGTAAAAGGCACAAAATACTGTCCAATACCCCGACTCTCAATAGCTTAGTATCTAAACAAGCTTCTACTAGGACACTACCTGCATGTGTTTCCTTGTGTTCATAGCAAAATAAGTTCCTTTTCCTGCTCCAGCTGTATGCTCCTGAATAGCCCAGTTTCTAGAGAGACAATAGCTTGCAGAAGTGAGACAAGGTTGAGATGCTCCCAGTCCAGTGTGCACTAGACTATCTACTCTCCATCCACATGCTAAGGCCTAGTGTTAGGGTTATATCGAAAGTACCCACTTTTCCATTGATTTTGCTGCTGCACTCTGGGCAGGATGAATATAAGACTGAAACAGGAGCGTGACTGTTCTGCCAATACCAAGGAAACAAGCAGCCAATCTCTGAAACATTTCACCATCATAGAAAATGTATGGTAATGAAACAACCTTATACTCCTGGAGCCTTAGTATGCCCCCTGGCTCCAGGACTGTACCAGAGGATGTGGAACATACTCCAGACCTGGTTTCTGTCATCTCAACAAGAGTCTTTTCTAATCCTCGCCCATGATATGAGTCCTAGAAGTGGAATATGTTTGCTCCTTGAGCTGAGATTGTTAAGTACCTACAGCACGGCATTGCCGACATTAGTATTTTATGGGATTGAATTCTCAGAGGGTTGTTTCTTATTATAATATGTACATTTAATTTTATATTGTCTTTATGTTGTACAGTGTCCTTAACATGTTGACGGGGACATTTTGTAAATCTATTCCTTATCACATTCTTGTACTTTATGAATGAGTGCAAGTGGATTTTAACTGTGGCATTAGAATCACCATCCAGTTCCTTAATGAATCAGTGCCTGTGGAGATGTAGTTACATGCCATGTTTACTATTCATACATCTGAAACAATCATGCCCCTTCACCTGATAACATATGAAACTATACATATACCTTTGGAGTCTTATATGTTCCTACAGCTTGCCAAGAAGTATGTACTGACTACAGCATCCTGTGACTGCTGCATATGAAAACACTCAGGTGCCACGGTGTATTCAAAGAAGCATTGGAGAGATACTGCACAAGCCTACTCTGTTATGCAATTGTAAATAAATGAGTTGCACTCGCTTCTCTGCTTCAGGATCCAAACTTTTGAGCTTCTCTATAAAAACATCCTTTTATTGTGCATACAGTGTTCTTGACAAGTCGATGAAGCATCCAGCGTGGTGGTGTTGGTGGGGGCTGAAAGTTCTGTCAGCGAGTGTCATAACGTTAATTTCATATGCCTTGTTTTTTCTGTCCTGAGAAACTGCTGTATTGGATTGGCAGAATGTGTACCATCAGAGGTGTCTCTGAAGTTTTTGAGGAACTTTCCGCAGATAATTGTGTCTACTTAGTCATAATGACCTATAGCTCATCCTTGACAATCTCAAAGGCACCTAAACAGTTTGGACTCACCATCAGCCTGGAAAAAAAACAAAGTCCACTTCCAGCCAGCTCCATCAACCACTATCACTGAGCCAAACATCACCATCAGTGGTGTAGACCTCTCCACGCGGAGCCATCAGGAAATGGACTTTCAAAAATTCTCAGGGCTTCTAAGGGGGAGGGTGGGATGGTCGTTTACCTGGCTGCAGGGCAGTGGAGTCCAAACCACTGACCAGAGCGGTCGCAATGGGCATTGGGGGACACCTCCTGGAGGCCAATAAAAGCGATGAAATCAAGAGTGGTGTCTACATTGGCACTTTGTCCAGAAAAATGTAGAGGAAAAAGACATAAGTCTCTCATCAGGGTGGATGTATTTAGTTGCCAAAAGTGGGCATTTTCCCCAACAAAAAACATCACAGAATGTATGCATGCACTGTTTGGTTGACAAAAGGCAGTTTTTGGTGACAAAACTTGGTAGTGTAGATAAGGCCTTAAAGTTTCCCAAGCTCTTTTTGAATGATAATAAGGATTAGCACTTTTCAGCCTCAAGGCAAACAATAACTAATTCATTTTCACAACACTCTGGTATGGAAAAGTAGTACAATTAGGCCCATTTTACAGGTGGGATAATTGATAAAGCTATTAAGTGGCTTGCCCAATGCCGTGCAGCAAATAAGACCTTGTCTATATTCAAAGTTGCATTTAAGCTAATTTAACAAAGGCTTAATTTAAATAGATTTTTAAAACAAGTTAATTAAACCAGTGCAAAATCCCATGGGATTATCTTCACTCAATTTAAACCTGGTTTATATTCATTCACTTTAACTTGATAAGGAATTGACTTAAATTAAAGGAATACTAGTCAGATTTAAATCAGTGAAAGGGCTTTGCACAGTTTTAACTAAACCAGTCTAAAAATGACACCCTTAGCTAAATTGGTGCAACTTTGATTATAGAAATCACCTAATCTAGATCATGACAACCATTAGAGGAACCATAGCTCTGACGTCCTGGCTGACAGTCCCTCTCTCAAGTAAACAGGGTCTCACACCCAAACCTCTGTGTGAGAAATTGCACCCAAAGGTGCTCCTGGTGCCAAAAAAAGCATTGCAATATCACTACCAAACATATTTCTTGCTAAAGCTCTTTGAGATACAGCCAGTATGAAAAGCACTATATTCAAACAGATTTTATTCTGTTGTGGTGGATCGTAGGGGAAAACTCAAGACTTTATGGGGGAAGGGGTCAGGGTACTAACCTTGAATTTTCATATACCTAAGCACCTGGCAACACAGTTAAGAAAACATCAACACTCTAGATACCCTCTTGGTGTAATTTCCATTAACATTAATGGGAGTGTGGCAGGCACACTGAGAGAACAGACTCTTCAACATTTACTGTGGTCTCTAATTTCCAAGTAGAATAATTACTGCCTTATAAATTTCCAGGATCTACTTATTTGAGCCCATTAGACATACTCTATCGTAATGAGTGATCTCAGCACTCGAGTAATTTTTTTTTCTTAAAATAAAAACAGATTCAGCCCATGGAGTTGTTTATGGACTATACTTGGAGCGTCTTTTGCTCCTTCTTGAGGTGGTGTAGGCTGCAGTCAGAGGTGTGACTGCAGCATGTGTAGCTATACCCAAGGTAACTTTGATCTGGCTAGCTCTAACAACGATAGGAGTGAAGTCACAGCAGCCTGGACGGTAAAACCCCGCCTGGAAGCCTGGGTACATACTCAAGCAGCTGGCGAGCCTCTGCTACTGCAGGCCAGCTTTGCTGCTATTATTATTTGAGCAAGGATATGTCTGCACGTGCTGCAGTAGCACCTCAGATTGCAGTGTGGACATACCCTTGGAGCCACAGCTTAACTAGGAGGGAAATTCAATCCAGTGCAGAGGGCCTCGCAAGGTTCTGTGCAATACTGTAGCTCCCTCAGGGTGAAAGTTTACCACCGGTATGCAGGCCCAGCCTTACTGCTGTGCTATGGAGGGAGAGCAGAAGCAAAGCTGCCATGGACTGGGGGGACAGTAGTCCCTGTGTGATGGAGAAGGCAGTCTGCCTGGGCACCACATAGGCTGACAAAAAGGGAGTATGATGGGGGAGGGCCTAGGATGTAGGCTGGAGTAGTGACAGCAGCCCCACACTCTGGCCAGGGACTAGGTATGGATTTTACCTCCTAGACAGCAGCACTCTACCCACACAGAGCCTTATTTCATGCAGTTTATGCAGTGAAGTAACTGTTGTCCCTAATTTGGCTTTCAGTGATACGTGGAGTCATTACATGTGCCTTTCAGCCTGGAGTGAATTTTGCCCTAAAAGAACCTGTATGCTAACAGCCCTAACTCATCCCCATCTCCTGCTGCGCGGCCTACTGTATGCAGATTTGTTTGGTAACAAGTCATTATCTTCATCCATCCTGTCTCCTGCTAAAGCTACCCTGGGGCTGTCCGCACTCAGCTAAGTTAGCAGCTTGCAGCCCCTCAGTCTCTGCCGTCAACCACACCTGCTCAGCCAAGCTCTGTAAATCTTGCCTTTTCCCTTATATGTGCATCTGAGAGACACAGCTCACACAGAAGCTTCAGGCTGTGAAGGATTTACAGACTGAGCACTACTGAATGGACGCCTTTGTTTTGTAGTTGTTTAATGGATAATGCTTTGAACTATGCAGTGTCGTTGCAGAATGTTGGACCCAGGATATTAGAGAGACACGGTAGGTGAGATAATATCTTTTATTGAAACAACTTCTGTTGGTGTGAGAGAGACAAGCTTCCAGACCCATAGAAGAGCTCGGTGTAGCTCGAAAGTGTGTCTCTCTCACAGCAAAAGAAGTTGGTCCAATAAAAGATATCACTTCCCTCTTTCTCTCTCTAAATGCTTTGAACAGTCATAATTAAAGAACTATAGTGCAACAAATAAATGGTAACAGACTGACCCCTCTAAATTAGCTGTGTATCCACATTATTGTTTAGCACCTTGGTTCAAGGCAGGTAGGTTTCAGAGGAACAGCCGTGTTAGTCTGTATTCGCAAAAAGAAAAGGAGTACTTGTGGCACCTTAGAGACTAACCAATTGGTTAGTCTCTAAGGTGCCACAAGTACTCCTTTTATTTTTTCCTCTGTTGTTCAGTGCAGCCTTGTAATCCTTAGGAGCTATTATATTTTACCCATTTCCATAGCAACATCTGCTAGTGAGACAGAACTGATCAACTTCATTCTTTATTGCTGCAGAATTCAACCAAAAAAATTTTTTGAAGCAAAAATGTAAAGGGGAACTTGTCTCCAACCCATGTTTTTGTGCTGCCTATATTATGGGAACTATAAAGATTATGTGAGGTGTCTGTCTGTTCCCAACTACTACATTAACTTTGTCAGAACCACTGAAATACCTAAAGTTTCACAATCTTGTCTTTTAAAAAAAAACAATTTCATCCTCATTCACCCTCATTACTTGTGTCTCGCATTAACACGCCATAAACTCAATATTTGGGATTTGTGCAGATTCCAGTTCACTGTAAATCTGTTCCACCCACAGGCCCCAATCTTGGAAACACTGACTCACATGAGTAGATTTAAAACATAACAATAATCTCATTGAACTCAAGTTGCATCCCGGAACAATACTTTGCTTCCTCCCTTGGCGGAACTGGGCCAAAGTCATAGAGGACCTGATTCACAGCCCATCAGTCAGTGTGAGTCATTCCTCTGCCTTTACTGGGCTTTGGGTCAAGTTCATAGAGCACTGTGCAAACATTTAAACAGGGGACTAACACTCTCTCCCTCCTCCCTTTCCCCTGGATTGTGAAATCAGCAAACGACTGCCACTGAGGGGCTTCTAGGAACTGTGCCTGCAGGGCCCAGTAGTGTCTTAGGAAGCATTGCTGGCGCAGTCTCTTTCATCAAGTGTGTCTCATGAACATTGTCAGGGCTTGGACATCATCACTGCCACGACAGGAGTCACCTGACACTAGAGCTGTGGAGAACTACCATTGTCTGTCCCCAAGCATTTGGAGCGGGGAACAGATGCTTTTGTGGAGTTTTATTGCCAAATTTGATCTGGACAAAGCATTGCCATTTACAAACGCTCATAGATGTCTTTAAAATTAAATAATTAAAACAATAAAATGTTACCGTGTAGGCAAAACCCTGAAGGATGTCAGATCTCCCATTTACGTAGTGCAAGGATTCCAGAAAGGCATAAAAACGACTCCTTGAAATGCAGCTCCCTGGACAACTAGAACACATCGTTACTATTTATTATGTGCAGTTTGGTAGCATGTCAGAACCCCAGTCACGGCGCAAGACCCCACCATGGTAGCGGCTGTACAAGAATATGGTCCTTCCCCCAAGAAGCTTACAATCAAAGGTGCTGCACAAAGGTGTGGGCCAAGGACAGTGGGCCAAATCCCCAGATTTTAATTTTCAGGGGACTTCAAAGTGTATGTGGAACAACAGGAACTCAGTTTTTAAGACCACAGTGAGAGACCCCAATGCAATCAGCTGCCTGGAATGCAATCTAGGAGGAGGAGCAAAGGCTGAATAGACCCTGCTGAGGTTTGGTTGCAGGGATTGTGAGAATTTCAAAAGTGATTTCAAGATCACTAAACCATGCTCTCCGCCTTAGGGAGTATAAAAGGAAGACTGATTCAGACTCCTGCTAAAGTAAGATTGGTTGATTCCATGCCACCCTTAGACTCCCTGAGCCAGCTAAGGGCTCTCACATTCAAGGTGGGACTCAGCCCCCGTGAAGACAGGGGGAGCAGGCCCTGCTGCCCTATTCAGGGATTTTCAGAGGTAGTGCACCTTTAATGAGTGGTCCTATCCTGAAGAGTCACTGTGTAAAAGCGGAAGCCCGAACTCATATGTTTATTGTCTTCAGGGATTTCCAGATTAAACCTGCCCCCTTTGCCAGTGAGATGATTTTCTAACTGCCTTTCCTGCAAACTCATTCTGGGATCTGAGTCTCTGGGCTGGATAAATAAAGTTTAAATAAATACTGGTATTTTCTATTCAAAGATCTAGACTGACTTTCTCTTCATCCCCACAGTATCCGAGCACCTTACAAAAATACATATTTCACATTCTTATCTTTGTCTCTCTCCTTCCCCTGTTGGTGGCAGATTTTCTGTTGTTGCTGACCACAGGCTGGGTCAAAGGCAGTTTGGTTTTCTGTTCTGAAGATGCTGACAGTTCAGTTGTTCAGTGGAACTTACCTATTGTGGGAGGCCGAGGTGTC